CTATTTTTTGATCATCATTTAACTCAAAATCAATTTATAGTCTCGGAACCCACTTTTAATAGCAAAGCTCCCATTTGTACTTAAACAAATAACAAATAAGAAAGTATATTTTTGTATTTGAAACAGACAGACTAAATTATTAAAAGTCCGATTAATCTATACTTACTACTAAAACTTTTGATATGATAATAATAATAGTCAAATTTATTAAAGAAAAATAATTTATGGAAGGGAAACAACAACACATGGTAATTGGAATATAAACTTATACATCATACCTGATCATAAAATTCGTGGAAGGAAAAGTAATACGTCAAAATCTGTAAAAAGATATATATTTGAAATGACCTGAAAAAGAACGAAAGGATGATAGGTAAGACGAAATCCTCCTATTCATAAAATTTTTTTGCAAATTTATGAAAACTACAATGAAATTATTTTGTTTTCAACGTCTTTATAATTTAATTCATTTTCACATTACGAACATATGGGTCAAATGATTCATTATAGTGAAGAATATTTCTTTTTTCATTAAATAGGGAGCGTTGTCACATAGTTTATCAGTGTGTAGTGGGTTACACTTAGTTCATCACTCGAGATTTTTTATGCTCGAAAAGAAAAAAATTATCGAGTTAATTACAGTGGCGGTCACTCACCGCACCGAAATGAAAAATGTAAAATGATACTATTTTCAATATTGAAATTATACACAAATTATTAGAATCTTCTCTTAAAATAAATTAAAGCTTCACATTGCTCACTTAAGTACTCGATACATAAAATTAATTCTACAACTTCTTTCATGCAAATTTCTAATATTAAACATAATTAATTTTAACCAGTGTTTCGACTTCGTCAATTGTTTAAAGCTTCAATATTTTTGTTGCCTATATTTATTAGTAGAAAAGATATATATATCGACTTTGTGTAAAGAATTTTTGCCGATTAAATCGTTTGAAATTCCAAATCGTTAAGGTAATTTCTAAATATATAGATTGATTATCCTGTGGAAAATAAATTGAAATGTCATCGAAAATGTTCGAGTGAATCTTAAATGTATGAAATATCATTTTTGGGGACAAAAATCTTTTTAATCTTTTTAATCATATAGAAATTCATCCTAAAACTATTTTTAAGATAAAATAATAAATTTTCCATTTAGATAATTGATAAAAAGTGTGCACAACGATACATGCTGCTGAATAGTATAATATATTGTTTTAAATAAATACTACTAATTTTTCATAATAAAGACTTCACGATTACACTAAATCCATCATCTCTATAACTATAATACAACTAATCTTCCAGGCCCTCCTCCACTCAACCTGACCAAACCCGACGTAATTCCAATCCCATGCCATCTCATTTCCCTACACAACACGAATAAATCTTTAACCTAGAAATTATTGTTAATCTTTATCAGAGAGTGTCTCAAGCGAATATAGTTATGGATAAGTATCTTAAACTTCTGTGTCAAATATTACCTATTTTCGATATCTTGAATGAACTTGAGAAAAAAACGAAAAAAAACAACAAAAGGAATTCTGTATATCACTTGACAAACATAATTGTATAAAAATATCTTCATTTTTTCTTTTTGGAAACGACTTCTTTAATTTCCTCACCTATTTTTCCTAACATTGTCATTCTTCATATATTAAAAATTAGATATTTTTGTCTATCCTCTTTTAATTTATTAATTATATCTTCATATTACAGTAATCTACAATAAAAATTATAACGGAAAATTTTTCCGAAATTTGATCGAATGATATTACTTTAGTCAACAAAAAGTCCGTCATGAACCAAAATACGAATATTTGGCCAACCTGAAAAGCAACAGCTCTAAATCCATATTGATTGATTTCTTTCACAGTAAACTTCAAAAGTAAATGTTTACATACGAATGTATAGTGGTGTGAAACGAACTTTTCAATTTCTGGTACACTATTATTACAATCAGAAGCTGATTGTTCAAAAATTGCCCAAAAGAAACTTTTAAATAATTAGTAAAAATTCATTGAACGTTTATTTTTCTTTTGTATTTAAATTTATCGAAGTATTCCTAAAATAACTTTCAAAAGGCACCCATATCATCCAGTTAAATGCCTTAGTATTTGTATCAGTGTAATTAATTATGCAAACTTGTCAATAATATATTTATAAAATTAAATTTTTTTAAAAAAAATCGTTTTAATACTTCTCTAAATATATAATAAATGTTTTGATGAAAAGTGAATAAAATGTAAGAACAGATTTTTCAAAAAAAAAAAACTAACAAAGTACTATGGTAAATGTGCGTAACATTAAAATAAATGAATGGTTAGTTACCATAAAAAGTTTTTAATTTTAGTGAGATCAAAATTATTTCTTTTTAAATTCGACATAAAAAAAATAAGTACCTTAGTGAATACACCAAAAACTATTGGCACATGAAATAGTTAACAAATGACAAGGATGAAAATCTGAAAAAAAATTTAAATACGATAAGATAAATATGTATAGAGTTGTAGAGTGTTTATTTAACTAAAAAATTTAAAAAAAAATTATTGTACGAAATTCTTTTGCAAGACCTCTAGAAAAATTATTAGCACACATATATTTCCCAATAAACTTTCAAATAAGATAATAAAAAAATACCTGTTAAATGCCATCAAATTCACATAAGAATAAGAATAAAAAGAAAGGTTATATAATTAGATTTTGATTTCTGGATATCGCAGCTATATTGAAATGTAGCTTAGCTTTTGATCTTAAATGGTCTTCTAACATACTGTTCAGCCATGACCCTATGAAAAAAATCCCATACAGTTTTTGTGTAGCTTTTGTGAAAAACATTACAATTTTCGGACAGTGCAGGGTGCCAAAACATGAAATAACCCTAGTACCTGTACATTCAAATTTTTAGCACATTTTTCCTACAACATCTAAATTAGGAAAATGAACTGTACTAATTGAAATAGTTTTTGTATGATTATTTCCTAGCTTAAATTCATAGATAGTATTTTGTTTGCTCTGCAAGTTTACTTTTAACGTCAAGAAAGGTTTTAAAGCTCAGTTTGTTATTATTTACAATTTTTATAAAATTAATTTAATTTACCCACTTTTAGTAATATTAAATTTTCCATACGTCGATAATATACTAAACTATACAAATCTGTATGTTTTAATTTTACAATACAATTTCAGCACAATTTTTATATATTTCAAATTTCAAATTTTTTTTCTGTACGATTTCTCTACGTTAAAAATTCTGTACAATTATTTTTGTATGGAAAATTGAAATAACTACACAAAATCTGTATGATTTCAGTATACACCTATACGAAATTAGTACGAAACATGTACAACTTTTTTTTCATAAATGAGATACCTTACGTCGTAATCAGATCAGTAACGTCGTTGATTTCCTACAATGATAATGATGATAATATTACTGAACTGAAGTCAGCCTTTCTCCGTTTTCTTAAATCATTCTCGATATTATAAGTAAACTTAGATCTGATAAATTTTACTTGAAAATTGTCAAATCATCGGCAAAAATTAAAACTTTAAATCTTTGATTTTAAAATATACAAGAAACTACCTGTTACACAAAAATCAACAATCATTGTCTTTTTAGATTTCATTGTTTGTAGTTTTCCTTGCATAAGGGCCCATATAATAATTTGATAACAGAACATAAATAAAAAAATAATTTATACAGCAGAGTGTACAACGACACGATGCTATAATGAATTAATGAATTTTAAAGTTCGTCAAGGTTCTTCCTAATATGGATTAGATTTGTGCAACAAATAAATGTGTTACCTGATGGTAGAAATTTTTTTTCATTAAATTTAATTTACTTATTTTCAAAGAATTTTTAATATTACATCAAGTCTTCTTGATCATGAAGAATGGGTTGTGAGATTATCTAAAAAATTTTAAATATAATTATTCAAAAAAGTTACATAACATAAATATTAAATATTTATTTACTAATTCTTTATAACTTACTGTTGTTTCCTTTAAAGAAGTAGTGTAGCTGATTATGGTCTTTATTGTTGCAACGATCAATTATTGATATTTTTTTATTGAGTCATAATAAAATTGAAAAATAAAGACCATTTATATTTAAATTGATCGTAAAGCTTCAATCACTAGTCATTATAGTTTATTATACGTGTAGTTTCGACTATTATAGATTTTGTGGTAAAGTCAAAACTTTAAGAGTAATGCCGTAAGAGCAAGGACCGTCTAAGAACAGTTTTACCAGGACCGATCCTACAGTACCATATACTAACTGCGGGTGGATTGATTAGTTATGCCTTAGGACACTCTTATTATAAATATAATTCATAAACGAAAGTTAAGCAAAATAACATTAATTTTAATACTATTATTAATTTTTATCCTTATCAAATAAAAATTGTGAAATTCGCAATGATGTCTTTCTGTATTAATTTTAGTAACCTATTTATGCAATGAAAGGAAACTTATAAGGTAAGTAATTTATAAATTATTATAATTTTATACTTGCTCTTTTTCCGGGTTCAGTCGAAGCGAACGATCGATTATATTTTCAAATCTTCCACTTCGGTATGAATTTATAAAAAGTTATTTCGTTTAATATGTTTTTAGGTATTTTTGAGGGTAGTTTGATCATAGTTAAATGTTTGTTTATTATTTCATTAAACTTTTTTTTTAAGTAACTATTTTTCTGCTTGTTCTTCAATTTACATAGGTTAAATCTTTTATTATTTATAAAAGAATTCTATTTTTTTTGCTTTTGCTTAGGGCTTATCCATCTAATTTTTATTACTCCCGCTATTATCATTTTTATTATAGCAATGTTCTAATGTAGTTTCCTAATGAAAAATCTGTAATTCGTCATAAATATTAAAAAAAGTTGGCAGGTTTCATCTTTGTTTCATTTATTGAGATAATAAATAACAATTTTTTAATAGCAGCTATTAAAGAACCTTTTTTACGAAATGTCATGATTAATCAGAAATCATAAATTATATAAGAAGTAATTATACAAGTACAAATGTCATTAAATCATGGAAGATATCGATATATACCAGAGGAGGACACAAATATTGCACGGTAATTATATAGATATTTTGTAAATTTTTAATAAGTAAATTAGCTATTTTGATCCTTGTTTGTTTAAAGTATTGCAAGCTGTAGAATCGAAGTTTAAATTTTTGTGTTTTTACTGATTTATAAGCAATAAAAAATCACATATTTACGAGAAATAAAGTTTTATTGCGTTTACGCTAAACGCCGATTATCCTAGAAACGATAAATGTATTATTTTCGATAGAAAAATTTAATTTTTATTTTTTTATTTTTAAATACTCATTTTTAGGGTTCTCTAGATCCTTCTATATAAATTAATTTAAACATAATAGTTCAATTGAGAGATTTTGCTGCGGTGATTTTTTTGTTCTACTTTAATAAAAACAAATGAGAAAGTATATGAAACTGACATACTAAATATTATTTGAAGAATAATAAATCATGGAATAGAAGTTAGGGTGAAGAACAACACATGGATAGTTTAAAACATCTAATATATTATGCATGAATAGTTTTAAACTAAGTTTTTCGATTTAAAAATAATTAAAGTTATAAATTTATAAAGCTTGGCCAGAATTAATAATTACCGCAGTATACGATCATTTGATTTGTTTTTTTTTCCAATGATCCGATTTTGGTCACGATAATTCCTTTTATATCCTTATTGAATATTACAAATGTAAATGAATTTTTTTTAAAAAAAAAATGAATAAATTAAATAAATTTATCCAAAAATTTTCTTTTAAAAAAAAAAATAGCCATGAAGGTCAAGATCTAATAGAATATGAATTCAACAAATTAAATGTCTCAGAAAATAGTAAATGTTCTTATTGTGATAAATTATTTACAGAGAAATTATGGTGTAACGAATGTGATCCTCATTGTATAATTGAAGGATGGACTAGTGGAAATTCTGATATAGATAAATTCATCAAAGATACTATGTATGATGCAAGACATTATAATATATCAAAATTACTTGAATGGGTGCCTTTTGATAAATTCACAGATATAAAAGAAATTGGTGAAGGAGGATTTGCCAAAGTGTATTCTGCAACATGGATTGACGGTGCCTTAACATTTAATAAACAGGATGATGGAAGTTGGAAAAAAGGATATTCTGGACCAATGAAGGTTGCTTTGAAAAGGTTAAATGGATCATGGGATATATCAGCCAATTATTTAAATGAGGTATTTTAATTTACATTTAAATTCGATATTTATTAAATAAAATTATTTTTATTTTAATTAAAATTATATTACAAAAACTAGCTTAAAGCACATTGGGATTTTAATAAACAAGATGAATATAGAATTACATTAACGTTTTATGGAATAACTAAGGATCCAGAAACCAAAGAATTTATTATGATCGTAAAATATTTACCTAATGGAAATTTGAGAAGTTATATTTCAAATAATTTTAACAATATTCTATGGAAAGAAAAAATTAAAAAATTATATCATATTACTGATGACCTTATTAATTTACAAAATTTAGGATATTGTCATAAGGATTTTCATAGTGGAAATATATTGCAAGATGAAATATATTCTTATGTTTCAGATTTTGGATTAACAGGACCAGCAGATAAGCAAAAAACGAATGATAATATATATGGAGTATTACCATATATTGCTCCAGAAGTCTTGAATGGAGAATTATATACCTTAGCTTCTGACATCTACAGTTTTGGTATAATTATGGCTGAATTATCAACTGGAAATCCTCCGTTTTATGATAGAAAACATGATGTGTCTTTAGCCTTAGATATTTGTAATGGACTTCGTCCTGAATTTGAAAAAGGAACTCCTGAATTTTATAAGGAATTAGCTTATAGGTGTATGAATGCAAATCCAAATCAAAGACCAACAAGCAAGGAGTTGCAGGATATATTATATTTTTGGTTTCATTCTATTGAAAAATATGGTTATAAAGATACCAAAAAATATGGATATTATGGAAAAGAAATAAAGAAAGCATTTGAAGAAGCTGATAAAGATATACCAAATATTATAATTTTACGCAAAACAAATCCTGATGCTGTATATATTAGTAGAGCATTTGCATTTAAAAATTTGACAAAACCTATTAATTCATCTCTTATTACTTCATATCTTGAAAAGGATGAAAATAATAAAGGTATTATCTAAATTTTGATTCGGTAATAAAATATAAATGCTAACTTTAATAAATTTTAATATTTTAAAGATTCTCAATTATATGAATTAAAAATTTCTAGTTCATTACAATTAAAAGGTAATTTAATGAAATATTTAAATATTTAAATTAAACTAATACCAATTTTATATATAATTATAGATGTCAATAATTGAAGGTTTTGATATTTCCAGTATTAGTATTTGCATGAGAAAGTTTATAAAGTTGAGATTAATTAATTACATCAGTATAATTTTGTTAAGAAATTCTCTGATAATATTATGGAAATGACACTTTTCTACCTTGAGGTTATTAGTATTATTAATAGTTCTCATAATAATAACTTTAAGTTATAGTTTACTAACTCTCTTTTTTTTTAATATTATGTGCCATAATTAATTATTATTATTGAGCATTTAGTTGCTTTTTAATAATATTTAGACTATATTTCAGAAACGCCTGATGATTATGTAAAATTTTATATATAATTAAATAATTTATACTTACATTTGTTTATAAAATATGTGTTTTTAGAATATTTTAAAATGATTAAGCAAATATTTAACTGGTTGATTCAATTCTCGAGTTATGATAATATCACGCTGTTAAAGTCGTTAAAGTCATTATTTCAGAGCAAATCTTGTGACGTAATTTAAAGATCCATTTGTTGTAGATTGTATTATATATAATTTCATTTGATAATAGATTTGGACAAGTTAAATTAAATTATAAAATTAAATAACATACATTTTAATATTTCTTGAGGTGATCCAAAAGCCTAAACAAAATAAAATGCGAAAATTATTGATTGCTACGGTACAAAGTTACCAAATGAAAAAATTTAATCCTAGTAATATATACATGCTTAATTACGAATAAGCCACCCCAAAATTTGAAGCTAAAAAAATAAAAAAAGCTATATTAATTGCTGCAACTTTGCACGACTAGAAAAAGTTGAAAAATAAAGTTAAAAAAAAAGTTTATCTATATATGCATTTAACTCAATAGATTCGCCTAATAATAGAAATAAAATATAGAAAAAAATTTAATAAAATAATCTTAAATATTTATTTTTTGATTCAGAGAAACCTAGTGAAAATAAATTGATGCAATAAAATTGAATTTTTCAGTGTGTAAAACAATTTAACTATAAAAATTAAAATAAACCATATTTCAATCTGGTATTTCTGTTAACTATCCAATCTAAAAAAATGCACTGACAATCGAATTCAATAAAATGAAAACACAAAAAAAATTTAAATATAAAAAAAGTTGAAATTGAAACCTAAAAAATAGTCTAAAAGGGGAAGATAATTTAAAGAAAAGATATAATCAAAAAAATTTACCTTGAAACTTGAAATATTATAAACAAAAAAGTAAGCTTTTTTAAAATTAACAATTTTTAATGAATATTATATTAAAAATAAAATACTATTAAAGAAGATCGAACTTATTCATCACGAATAAAATAATAAAATAAAGGAAAGTTAAAATAGACTAAAGGTATGTTGAAAAAATATTTCGTAAAAGATAAACAATTATTGAACTAAGTTTTGGGTAAAAATCCTTAATATAACAATAATATTTGAATTTAATAAATACAAGTCTAAAATACTAATCGTGATCAATTTCTTCTTATTAATATCAAACTTTTGTTTTATTTATGAAGGTAGCTTTGATCTGATTCTGCTTATTCTCAAAGATATATGTAATTATATATTGAATGTGCTTGAATAACTTATACAAGCAAATTCTATAGAATACACCATATTAATTTTTTAACTTCATTATCTTTTAAAAATTCAATACGCACCAAATGGAATTTCCATTTGAGTCAGAATCTATTATTATATTTGATAAAAGTGAGCAATGTCTGGTTTGTTATTTTTTTCGTGCGAATATTTGCTTTATTAGATTTTTTATTGTTTTTATTTTATTTAACATTTAAAGATCCTTAATTTCCTTAATTTATTTTTTTAGGAAATAGTTAGGTAATATTTGGTTTCAACTTATAGCAGCACCCATATATTTAAAAAATTTAGCATAGTAATTACATCTTCTGATATCTCTTTATTGGAATATTTTACCATTTTCAGTTTATTAATCATAAATTTTCCTTTAAATTTCAGAAATTGTCTTATAAAAATTAGAACTACGATTTGCAGTCTAAATTTAATTTATCGAAGAGATGTGGATCATTACTAAATTCACTAACTTTTTCGCTTAATTGGGATGTATGTCGTACAGATCGACATAATTTGTGACACAAGCTATTTCCGCAATTGCAATAAGCTTATATCGATTTTGGATTTTTTTTTCAAATTTTTTTATTTATTTTATACTAAAACACAATTTATATATGTATTTCAAGTAATAATTTTTTTTTATTTTATAAATAAAAGATTCTTTTAAACCGCAATGCAATAAATAGATTAAATTAATAAGTTAAATAAGAACGTGACGTTAAAACTCGAATTTAATTTTTTAGTTTAGAAAAAAGAAAGCTTTGTCAATCTACAAAGAGAGGTAAGTAAAGATATTAATATTATTTTTAATTTAATATTTTTAAAAAGAAAAAACATTACTTACTTCTGATTCTCATTCAATCAAAAATCCAGGAGTCTGAAAACTTTAACAAGGTATTTAAAGATTTTAATTTTTTTATCTTTTAACGTACTAAGAAAAAAATTCTTACCTCCGATTCTCACTCAATCTGATTCTAGGATTCAGTAAGACTTCGACAACCTACAAAGAAAGATAAGTGAAGATACTAATTTTTATTTACTTTAATATTTTAAAAAAGAAAATATATTACTTACCTCCAATTCTCATTTAATTCAGGATTCCAGTATTCCAAAAAGCTTCACAACCTACAAATAGTGGTAAGTAAAAAGGATTAATTTTATTTTTAATTTAATTATTTAAAAAAAAAAAATAAAATTAATCCTTCGATTAATTAATATGTAATCTAGGATTCCGGAGCACTTTCAACATCTACAAAAGAAGGTAAGTAAATGAATTTATTTAATTATATAAAAAGAAAATAAGATTATTTACCTATAAATCATTCAATCCGTGATCCTAGGATCAAGAGGCCTTCAGTAATCTACAAAAAGAGGTAATTAATTATTTTTTTTTTTACTTTTAATATTTTAAAAAAGAAATAAAAAAATATTATTTACCTCTAATTCTTATTCAATCCGATTCCATAATTCCGGAGGCGCGTTAATAGATATTGAATGTAAATTTATAAACGTAGTAATTTACTAGTAAAAGGAATTGCGGCTAGGTATGTGAATGGTATAAGAATTTTCTTGAATTTAATTACCTATTATATTATGATTAATGCTATCTTTCATTTACAAAAAAAAATAAAAACGAGAAAAAAAAATTGGTTCCTCTTTTTTCATAATATCAGTTAATAACGAAAATAATGAAACTGTCTAAGAATTCTTTTAAGTGTTGTATCAATAGTAGAAGCTAAATTATTATTTAAAAGCAAAAACAGTTGAAACAACAACAGCAACAGCAAAGTAACAGAAACAGAAACAGAAACAGAAACAGCAAAGCGAGAACATCAAAAACAGCATGACAAGAAAAGCTAGAATAGCAGTAACAACGATAGATACAGTAATAATCACAACAGCTACATATATCATCTCACTATCATGACCACCATCTCCTATACTACAACCATCTCATCCAACATGCTCACCTCTACCACAACCACCAAACATTATGTCAATTTCAAATTTATAATGCTAAAATATATTAGGTATTTTTATTAAAAAATTATTTTTCATTAAAAGCATGATTTCATTTTTTTTTTAATGTTCTATCACCAGGGGGTGCAGTGATAAATAAAGTGGAGATCTAAAAAAAATGTGAAAAAATAATGAACTAAAAAACCAAAAAAGAATACTGTAAACAATATAACTTGCCATAATAAAACGAATATAAAAAAAACTTACCTAAGAATTTGCAGAAGTCTAACAGAAAAGAAATCTAAAAAAAAATATTTCCTAAAAAAAAATGAAAAACAACTAAAAACTTGATTAATTAATTTTTTTTTTTTATTTAATGTTTATTAAAGTAATAAAATTAAAGGATTATTTAAATATTCATTTTATCAATAAATTCTTTTCTACAGACTGCAAGAGAGTAAATTAATAAGTTGATTGGGAACGAAGCCCCAAACTCAAGTTCCTCCTTGTCAAATGTAAATGTGTCTTTATAAGAAATTTCCTATTACAATTGTTTCATAATCACCGAATCTGACCTAAAACCTTTTATTTTTCAAAAAAAAAAAAAAAAAATTACACGACACGTACAAGTTAAATAAAAAAATATATGTATATATATATTTTTTTCTTATAGTATTAAAGAATACTGAAAATAAGTTTTGTTGATTTAGTAATGAACAGTTCCTTTTCCATTACGCCCAAATTCCAATAAATTTAAACATAGATAGAACATACTCCATTATTTTCCATCATAATAAATAAGAATAAATTTTTGTATATTTGATAAACTTTGCTCCGATTGAATTAAAGATTGAATTTGCTTACGAGAAAGCTTATGATTTCTTTAATAGATTTTTTCTTCTTTACATTCAATTAATTTATATTTAGACTTTGTAATTGCTTTTATGCATAATTCGTAAAAAAAATAATGTTAACGTGAATAATTCGTTTAATTGATGATTATTACGAAATTTCAAAATTCTCTATATATAGGTCAAAATTATGTTATGAGACATTCCGAACAATAGCACACCTCCCATATAATTAATAAGAATATTAAAAATAAATAGGGATTTTATGATTTATAATCATGTCATGCATAATAAACTTTTAGTCCGCATGTAATTTAAAATACACTTTTTAACAATATCAAAAAGAAATTTAATTCACAGATTGCTTCTAAAACTTTTTTTACTATCGAAAACACCAATTTCTCATTACGAGTGCTGCTGTTGTAATATGATTAATGTGTAATAATATAAACGTGCCAGAACGTTTCAAAAATATTCAACTTGAGACTTCTAAAAAGAATAATTTTTACAGTATAAAGAAAAAAAATAATGTGAGTTTGATGTTTCAAATTTACGGTTTTATTTTGTTTCATTTTCACAAAAAAGAATATTCGCCTCAGGTGAATTTTGCAGTTTAAAATATTAAGCTTTTAAATATTAAGTTTCATTGTAAAATACAAAATTTAACTTTAATTAATAAATATTTTTGAGTGAAGCAAGCAATTGGGTAAAATATCGAGTCTTGCAAAAGGATAGATTTGTTACACTAGAAGTAAAGGCTTTAAAACATATAAATAAAAAAAATATATTAAATATATTAAATATAATTAAATTCTATTTTAATTCTATTTCTATAATATAAAAAATATAAAAATAATTCTGTTCAGGAACGCAACCCTTTATGACTGCAAATTCTAGTCTTTTTATATAAATGCAAACTATTTATATATATTTCAAGTATTTATTTATTTTTATAAATAAAAGATCCTTGTAAACCGCACTGCTATAAATGGGTAGATAAGTTGGGTGGGGACGAAGTCCCCTACTATCCGCAATTTTTAGTTATATTATTAAAATTCAGTTATAAAATTTGGTTTATTAAATAATTTATATCACAAACGTCAAGATGAACAATAATAATTAATAGTTCTTGAATGATAAAGAATCGTTTCAACAATAACTACAATGAATTGATTTTCTAATCATTCTTCTTGAATTACAATTTATCGCTAAATATGAACAATGATGGATAATGGACCAACTATAAAGATGAAATATCGTACATTTTGAACGATGATGTATCATTTATATACAACAATAATATACCGTTGAATTAAAACATTATAAATCGTTCAATTAGAATGATGAAAAAACTTTTTTTCTTAAATGACGATGTATCGTTCAATTAAAACGATGTAAAATCATTCTTGAACGACAATATGAAGCATCTTTCAATTAGAATGATGAAAAGATTCATTTAAAACTGATGTATAAAGAAAGCGATCCACATCGTTCTGAAAAAAGCAATTATTATCGTCACCTAATTGAACAATTTATAGAGTGATTCATCATCGTTATAATTGAACAAATTATATCTTTCACATTTCTTTTGTTAATATTGACTATAGTTATATGTCCACAAATGTCCACAAAGTCCCAATTTATATATTACTACATTCCTATCGTTCAAGTGACTTTGGATTTTATAGAACTGTAAGACCTGTCTGTCTCTTGCGAATTTTAACATTGAAAATATCACTATAATATATTCAAACGGTTTTTCTTTTCTTTTCATTAAGTACAAGATAAAAGAAAAAAAATTGTCTTAGTAAATAGGCGGCCAAGACCAATAGTATTTAACTGTTAAGTGACCCAAATATAAAAATATGTAAATTAGCAATTTTAAAAGTACGAAAAGAAAATAGCTTTACCTCAAAACATTTTTTAAGTATTGTTATTTGATAGGGAGTTAAAATATTACCGAACTGCGAAGCAGTTCATATGATATTTTAACACCCCTATCGATTAAATGTATTATTTTGCAGTCGCACATGATCATGCTTATAAATAAATATACTATTATTATATTATGTTGGTATAATGTCAAAAAATAATTATACAATTGTAGTTTATTTATAGTTTAATATAAAAATATTAGCATGTTTAAAGAACCATGATCTTATTTGGCTGTAGGATAAATTGTTATTATTTATTCAATAAGCAGATTATAAATATTTTATTGTAAATACGATCACTTGAATAACTCACTTTATCCCATCGGTATTATGTATACACCAGTGGAATTTCTTATCACTTACTCCACTGGTTTGTATTAAGTATCATTGTGAAAAGAAACTTTATTATAAAAAGTTGCTTATATACTGTAATCAGTTATTAACATAATATATTTAATTGTACTATGAATATGTATCTTTAAAATTCTGAATTCTGATTATT